CCATCACCTTATCATCCCAGGAATCCAGGTGTTTCTGAGCACTAACGACCAATCCATAGAATACTGTACAGAAGGAAGGGAGTTAGAGCTGCCCATCACCTTTCCCATCCCACCAAGTAAAGCATACACACCTATAAGTACAGTCCTCTCCTCCCCAACCCAAAAAGGGATTTGGGGGTCCTGTTCTGGGAAAGACCCACCTGCCCACCACCTCCCCAACTATCGTTCCTTTCTGACCACACCTAGTTCCAGGATAGGCAGGGAAAGTGAAAGAGAAATGCTGTCAACACCTACAGCCTCCCTATCAAGTTTGCTCCTGGCCCCAAACCAGGCCAAGAAAGGTCAGATGGAGAAGAGCATCTACTCATACGTGGCCTGCTCTCAGCCATCATCTGCCCCTTCCATGGACTTATGGGGTCCAACTTCAGAGAGACCCAGTCTCTTCCTGGCCTTCTTTCCTCCCTCCTTGATTCCAATTAAGCCCTTCCCCAGACCCTCCTGCCCTTACCATGACATATCGCCAACATGTCATTCTCCTCTTGGGCCAACTTCAGAAGAGGCAGGATATATCTCCATATAGAACCAATGTAGGAGACTATATATGGGAGGGAGAGTAAGAGAAACATCCTTATCCCAAGGAAAGGAGCCTCCCACCTTAGTGTACAAAATCTTATGATTAGGGACCAGGTGGTTTGAGTTCTGATCCTAGCTCTTCCTCCAGAGATTCTAGGCAACCCGTAGGAAGATACTTAATTTATGCTAGTTTTTGTGTCCTCAGCTATTAAATAGGACTACAGTTCCTAATGTGCCCACCTCACAGGGCTGTTGGGAAAATTAAGCTCCATAATGTATGCTAGCACAGCATGTAGATGCAAGGTATTGCCACACCCTACACATGCACACTCCCTTCCAAGGACCCTTATGGTGCAAAGAGCTGTGCTGCCTGAGGCTCTCTCACTCTTCTAAAGTGAGAACATTTGCCCTGATTAGATCAAGAGACACATTTCCAGCTTCTGTGCTGTGTCCTCTGAGTTTGCTATGCAGCCCAACCCATAAGCCTTGTCAATTTGAACATAATGCCTAGGCCAGCTGACTCCCCCCAACCTCTCCCTGGCCCAAACTCCAAGTGGCAAAGAAAGGACAGGGTCTGGCATTTACCTGATGACTTGATTTTTTCCCCACACACTTTTAAATATATATACATATTATTGATTTTTTACAGAGATGAAGGAAGAGGGATAGAGAGTTAGAAACATCGATGAGAGAGAAACATCGATCTGCTGCCTCCTGCACACCCCTTCGTAGGGATGTGCCCGCAACCAAGGTACATGCCCTTGACTGGAATCCAAGCTGGGACCCTTCAGTCTGTGGGCCAATGCTCTATCCACTAAGCTAAACCAATCAGGGCTCCCCCACACTTTTTGATTGAGGGAGGGGAATACAATGGGTAAGAGAACTAATGCTGTCACCAAAGCCACCAGGATGGAGATTGTATGGTGATTCTCTGCCTCATCCTACTACACTATTA